ACTAGAGATGTTTGATGATGAATTTGTTTCTCTTTGTATAATGGCAACTACATAATGAATCACGGAAAATGGCAACAGCTTTTATATCTTCATTTGCTTAAAACAGATAAAAATCTTTTCATTCCACCTTATTAAATATCAAATAACTCAATAATGGCAAATCTAAACCTGCACTTCCAAGGACTTTTAAAAGTGCATTATATTTATAAGGGTACAATGATATTTTAAATAAAAGTGAGCACACAATTTAAAATATATCCATTATAGAGCCAACTGAGACTTCAATAATTTAGTAATTTTTATCACTGAGAAGGGGAACATGTAGAAACAGATCCAGAATCTTTTATTTTTACCTCATTTGGAACAAAAGACTAAGGTTGCTTACTGGCAGATAATGATAGTCTGGACACTGACATTCTTCCAGACATTAAGTCATTTGCTATTTCTCTTTGACAGGTATAAAGCTTCAGAAATTAATTGTGCAAGCTAGTCCTGATTCTCCCAAGATCACCCAGCAGCTGCAAGAACATTTTCTGTTAAAAGCTTGATAATGAATCAAGTTTGCTTGTTAAAATGTCCAACAACTAGTAAGATAAACATGATAATATATTCCGCTTTGAATATAAAAATACAGCTGACTTTAAAGCTATTGATGAAGAAAAAAGAGAAAGTAAAATATGAGAGTCTGCAAGAGAATTTTATTTTAATTAATGGGCTATATTTTTTATAAATCTTGGTTAAACAAACAGTTGAAGGAGAGAAATACTAGAGCAAGCAAAGTTTTTATTTAGCTGGAAAATAAACTACCTTTTCTTATATATGTAGTTTTGCTGTTGAAAATATTCCTAAAGGAATAATCCTCCTTCCTTAAATTCAAACTTGTCTTTTATTGGGGACACAGCATATTCTGACCATGAAGGTAGGAGGCTAAAGAGACTACCCTAAATAAATTGCCCACCTCTCCACCCTTGTTCTCAAGGAATTCTTAGACTCAATGAGTAGAGTATACAAATATAAGTTAGTAGTTTAAAATATATTTGTTTCCAGAACCCTTCACAAACATCATTTTGGGTTTCAGTTTTCATCGTCTTGAGCTTGAAATGGGCTCAATTCTTGAGCTTGAAGAATATAGAAAGGATCACTGGATTTGGAGGGAATGTTCTCGAGGATGAAATGAAATGAAATAATATGTACAAATGCTCTGAGCATAGTGTATGCTACTTTACAAATGTCTAAAACATACATATCTCTTTATTGTATTGAAGATATATATCAAACATTATTTTATTGATTAACTTCCTGGTAAGAGCTCTCAGTTAGGGAGAATGTTGGACATCACCATTTCTTTTACTATTTAACCTAACATATATCACCTATTCACCAGAATAAGATTGAGCCATTTAAACTGAGTCATCTAAACCAGGTTGCTCAGAGAACAAACAGGAAGGACAGTAAAATCAAATTTTGAGTACCAGGAACTGATTTTTAAAAGAAGTTAGTATTTGACAAATAATGTGAAAGAGGGTATTTTTTTAAAACAAATGTTTGCAATTTATAGCAGTTGCTCTAATGTAATGAATGAAGATTGATTCAGAAACTCAGACAGCAGTCAAACTTCTAAGATAAGTAGTAAATCTCAGTTATTCAAAAACCAGAAGAGAATCCTTCCTTTATGTAAAATTTTGTCACAGGTTTCTGGAATGAGCTCACATAGTATGCATTCTATAAGATATAATTACTTAAAAATGAAATCTCAGCATTTCTATCTGCTCTGCATTAAGGAACTGTTGAATTATCAAAAATGTATTGAGATTCTTTATATTGATAGAAGTGTCACCTGAAGAGGGAATACAAAAGAGATTTAGAAGTTGTCTTACTCTACCAGAAACTCACATCTTGGGGAAGATAGGTTTGAAATATTAGGTGTGAAAAAAAATAAGTACAAGTAAGTGTTACAATGATGATATAAGGTAGGGTAAGATATGCTAAGGATTGAGAGGCAACTTCATACTTATTAAATAAACTATGAAGATAAGCTCTATCTCCTTCTCCACTCAGGTCTAGATATTTTAAAATTACCTTACAGAGTTGTTTGTATCCTCAGAAATTTGGACTTTTGGATATTGATTTTCTCTTTTCCTTTTTCATTTGTTTTTAATTAATTCTTTAAAACCACAACTTCTCTGCCTATATCCCTACTTATGGGCATTTATAACACTAACAAGGATGCATATTCCCCAGTGCCCATCATTTTTGTTCTCGTATATATACATATATAACATACATATGTATATATATATGACTTCCCATATGGCACAGTGGTAAAGAATCCACATGCCAATGCAGGAGATGCATGATATGTGGATTTGATCCCTGGGTCAGGAAGATCCCCTGGAGTAGGAAATGGCAAACTGCTCTAGTATTCTTGCCTAGAAAATTCTATTGACAGAGAAACTTGGCTGGCTACAGTACATGGGGCCACAAAGAGTTGGACATGGCTGAGACATTGGGCATAAATACATATAAATATAATAATACTTATTGTCTATCTTTCCCCCATAATTAAAGTTTCACAAGAGGATGGCTCTTGTATTATTGAATGACCTATCTTTACTCAGAAAAAGGTAATAATTGGTGATCCTGTAAAATTTTGATGAATTAGTGACTGAACCTAAGACACTGTATCATTCTCTCTTACAAAATCTCTTTACTTCATGGAGATGAAAATTTTTCTGAGTTATTATAAACTGAGATTTTTGTTTTATTCCCTATTTTCTCTTACATTGGTCAAAAGGCCCTAATTACTAGAAGAAAGTTCCTAAACAGTAGCAATTTTTATCAGTCTTGAGAACTTTTGAAATAGCCCTGGAAGAATGAATAAAATGAGAAGTAAATCAATTATTTACAAAGAAAATTGTAGAGAAGGAGTATAAGGAACAGGAATAGTAGCCTGGCAGGGTAAAATTGCATGGGATGTACTAAGGAGAGGCTCCCCAAGTGGCTCATTGTTAAAGACTCTGCCTGCAATGCAGACGCGGGTTTGATCCCTGGGTTGGGGAGATCCCCTGGAAGAGGAAATGGCAACCCACTCCAGTATTCTTGCTTGGAGACTCCCATGGACAGAGGAGCCTGGAGGGGATTACAGTCCATAGGGTCACAAAGAGTTGGACATGACTGGAGTGACTCAGCAGCAGCAACAGAAATATTGAGATATAACAGTGGTCTGCTGTGGCAGGGCTAGTTTGTGTGGTGGCCGGGGCAGGGAGGCTGGAAGGGAAATAGTGATGTTGACCTTCTTCAAGGAGTCTTTTTCAGTTATTTCTACCATTCTGATGATTTGGTCATATATTTATTCAACTTAGCATATTTACAAGTTGTTTTATATTAATTTATATTATGTACATTCCTATTTCTTCATACTTCATACTTCATAGTGTATTTTGTTTTTTCGGACTAGTTTGCAAGCTCTTTGGCGGCAATGAATAACAGTTTTACTATGTGTTAGAATGGAACTTAAATGAACTGGGTGTAAGATAAGCTTCCTAAAACAAGGACCTTGTCCATTAACAGATGAATCGATAAAGAAGATATGGTACACACACACACGCACACACACACACACACACACACAATGGACTACTACTTAGCCTCAAAAAAGAACAGAATTTTACCATCTGTAGCAAGATAGATATACTTGGAGGACATTGTATTAAGTGAAATAAGTCAGATAAAGGAAGACAAATTCTGAAAGATAGCACTTCTATGTGAAATATAAAAGATATAACAAACTGGTGAATATATCAAAAATGAAGTGGAGTCATAGATATAGAGACTGGTTTACCAATTCGGAGAGGGAGAGGGCCGATATAGCAGTGGAGGGAGTGGTACAAACTACTGGGTGTAAGACAGACTCAAGGATGTATTGTTCAACACAGAGAATATAGCCAAGATTTTGTAACAGCTATAAATGGAATGCAACATTTAAAAGTTATCTAAAATTATTCTAAAAGAGCAAAAATCTTACTAAAGTAAACAGTTTTCAAAAGCTAGAGCTTTGAATGGCTTTTTCACTTGGTACAGCTGGAAAGCACACATTAATATTTGGTAAAAATAATTGAGAGAGGGAATGACTCAGAAAATCTGCTCTGTTGTCGTTTCTGTTCAGTTGTTTTTTTAATCGGGCTTCCCCTTTGCTCATTATATGATCTTGGAGGAGAGTCACTGAATTCCTCTTAGGCCTTGATTTCCTCATCAGTCAACAGTGGGGGTGCTGCTGCTGAGACTGAGGCATTGCTGGGAAGCCTAAGTGAGATGATACCGACAATTTGGGAAATGAAAATACTTTACAAAAGTATATTATGGAGCTGGACATTATTTGTACACCTGGAGCAAAGATGGGAACAGGAACAAGATAAGATTGTCAATTTGGTCTCCAAAAGGGAAAACCTAACCCTGACATTTTTTGGCCTACATTGAAGATTTCAAGCTGCCCAAATATTATTTTTTTTTTTCAAAAGTTTCACATTTCACAGTAAGAGTGGAGAATCAGCTGAATAAACAGCAACAGAGATCCAAGCCCAAAGACTTCTAAGATTTCAAGATGCTGTGGTCATATTGCTGAGTTGGAATGGGCCTCTCTGTAAGCGGATATCTCTGGGATTCGTAACCTATGTCGGTTACTCTTCTTTTCTTCTTTCCACTGTCACCTGAAAAGAAATGAAGATATTTTCTTGACTTGATGTAGTAAAAAAAGATTACAGCACCAGAGCTCAGGACACTTGGCTTATAATTCCAGCTCTTCACTAATTCCTGAAGTAAACTTGGATTAAATCATGTATCTTTTTCCTTTGTAAAATTAAATAACTGTATGAGATAAATTCTGAGGTTTACAGCTATAAATGGAATGCAACATTTAAAAGTTATCTAAAATTATTCTAAAAGAGCAAAAATCTTACTAAAGTAAACAGTTTTCAAAAGCTAGAGCTTTGAATGGCTTTTTCACTTGGTACAGCTGGAAAGCACACATCAATATTTGGTAAAAATAATTGAGAGAGGGAATGACTCAGAAAATCTGCTCTGTCGTCGTTGCTGTTCAGTTGTTTTTTTAATCGGGCTTCCCCTTTGCTCATTATATGATCTTGGAGGAGAGTCACTGAATTCCTCTTAGGCCTTGATTTCCTCATCAGTCAACAGTGGGGGTGCTGCTGCTGAGACTGAGGCATTGCTGGGAAGCCTAAGTGAGATGATACCGACAATTTGGGAAATGAAAATACTTTACAAAAGTATATTATGGAGCTGGACATTATTTGTACACCTGGAGCAAAGATGGGAACAGGAACAAGATAAGATTGTCAATTTGGTCTCCAAAAGGGAAAACCTAACCCTGACATTTTTTGGCCTACATTGAAGATTTCAAGCTGCCCAAATATTATTTTTTTTTCAAAAGTTTCACATTTCACAGTAAGAGTGGAGAATCAGCTGAATAAACAGCAACAGAGACCCAAGCCCAAAGACTTCTAAGATTTCAAGATGTTGTGGTCATATTGCTGAGTTGGATTGGGCCTCTCTGTAAGCGGATATCTCTGGGATTCGTAACCTATGTCGGTTACTCTTCTTTTCTTCTTTCCACTGTCACCTGAAAAGAAATGAAGATATTTTCTTGACTTGATGTAGTAAAAAAAGATTACAGCACCAGAGCTCAGGACACTTGGCTTATAATTCCAGCTCTTCACTAATTCCTGAAGTAAACTTGGATTAAATCATGTATCTTTTTCCTTTGTAAAATTAAATAACTGTATGAGATAAATTCTGAGGTTCATCTATTCTCTAAAATTTTATAATTGCTAAGCATTCCAGGTGGCTTTAGTGGTAAAGACCCAGCCTGCCAATGCAGAAGATGTAAGAGACATGGGTTCAATCCCAGGAAGATCCCCTAAAGGAGGACATGGAGTCCACTCCAGTATTCTTGCCTGGAGAATCTCATGAACAGAAGAACCTGGTGGGCTACAGTCCATGGGGTCATAAAGAGTCGGGCATGACTGAAGCGACTTAGCAATCAAGCATCCAGAGGAAAAATAGTGAATTTGAATTCCAGGCAACTTTCCATGATCACTCAGCCTCATTCTACCAATATCTGTCCCCTTCACACATATTCTATGAAATACTTATATTTTAGTTTTGAAAGGCTTACTTTGAGGGGTCATTTTGTTGGCTAAGTTGGGTCATGTCCTGCTATCCAGCAGGATGATAATAATAAGAGCTATTACCAGGCTTCTCCACTGTGGTTCAGCAGTAAAGAATCTGCCTGCAATTCAAGAGACACAGGAGATGAGAGTTTGATCCCTGGATTGGGAAGATCCCCCAGAGAAGGAAATGGCAACCCACTCCAGTATCCTTGCCTGGAAAATTCCATGGAGAGAGGATCCTGGCAGGCTACAGTCCATGGGGTCACACTGAGTCAGACACAGCTGAGCTACTGAGCACACGCTTACTTTAATACTACTTGCTAGGTGCTATTCTAAGAAGTTTAATATATTAACTCATTCAGTCCTCCTATCAGCTCTATGAGGTAGATGTTATTGTGATACTTATGAGTAAAACTGAGGCAAAATGAGGCTATGTAATTTGTCCAAAGTCATTCTACTATTAAGTGCCAGAGTAGCAATTCAGATCCAGACCATTTTATAACCCCACATATGTGTGCTAAACTAATCAATAATACTGACTATGGAGGGTCAGAGGAAAGCAGGGAAGAAGAGATCATCAGCTAGAAAGTATGGTACCAGGGTCTGAGAACATTGTATCAGGTACCCAGGACAGGTAAGCTATTCAAACAAATGAGGAGAACAGCCAAAAGCCTGAGTTCTATTCCATAAACCAATCTGCTCTCAAAATTTTGTCTGTGGGATTGCCTGCCAAAAATGTGACTTTAAATATAAAACCAGCAAAATGAAATCATTTCTTGGAGAACATTTCTGTGGTTCACGATGGAATGCCAAGTTAAGAATATCTGTCTTGCATTTTCAAGCACATGTGCTGTAGTAATTTTATGGGGTAATGAGTTGGCTTCCACTAAAGATATTTTATTTTAACAGGGGCTGGGACTGGAGAAACATTATGTGGCAGGCAGTGAAATATCTTACTTGTGCAGATTACTTTAGCTAATCACCTACAGGTGAATTTTCTAGGAACTCTGGTTTTAACCCTTTGACTACTATGGATTTCAATGGATTTTAGCTGAAGACGTGGCTATGACGGCAAGGCACCCAGTGGTGAGGAATGGAGGAGTTTGGGGTATGAAGGAACTGATCAGAGTAATGGAAGAAATATGGGATTTTCTTCTCAGTTTTAAAACTTAAGTGGTACTTGAAGTCTATTAATTGGATTTAGCACAAAAAAAAATAATCGATGTGTGATAATAGCTAATAGTTTATAAAAGCTAGTGTAGTCTCCACTTCCCAGTTTATCACATGGCAGACATTGCTAGTTAACAGCCCAACACCTACCCTCTCTTTCCGTATTAAAAGAAGACAAATTTTCTACTAAATATTCCCTTCCCCAGATTATTTTGTAACTGCTGCTGCTGCTGCTGCTGAGTTGCTTCAGTTGTTTCCGAGTCTGTGCGACCCCATAGACGGCAGCCCACCAGGCTCCCCCGTCCCTGGGATTCTCCAGGCAAGAACACTGGAGTGGGTTGCCATTTCCTTCTCCAATGCATGAAAGTGAAAAGTGAAAGTGAAGTCGCTCAGTCGTGTCCGACTCTGAGCGACCCCATGGATTGCAACCTACCAGGCTCCTCTGTCCATGGGATTGTCCAGGCAAGTGTACTGGAGTGGGGTGCCATTGCCTTCTCTGATCTTGTAACTAGGGGTAACCATATGAAAATGTTCTTACCAAAGAGATATTGGAGGGAATCAGCTGGAAATTTCTGGGAAGAAAGCTCCTACTCAATCCCCCTAAATGGTGGCCAACAGATTCAGCAGCCATCTTGTAACTATGAAAAAAGAGAAATGAGTTAGGATGGTGGCACAGAGAGACAGATTCCTGATTCCCTCTAAAGCTGATGCAACTACCCTGAGTGCATAGGCAGAACATTCTTGTTTTCTGAAAAAAGCATTGTATCTTCTGACTTGCAAGCAGTTGCCTGATTCTGAGGCTGAGGGAAATACTGTGTTTTTCTTCTTTCTCTGTTCTCTCCAGTGGACCCAAATCTGGGGCTGACATGTTCCCACATAGTGAGGTCTGTGCCCAAGGGGGATGGCATTGCTTGTCATTCCTTTCATTAAGTGTCTGTTATTCTTGAATAGAGGAAACTATTCTTCATATCCTATGAGAAAGAAAAGGAGTTAGCAAAAATTTATTAAATTTCAACATAATGAGTATAATAGTCAGTAGAGCAACATAATGTAATATGCATTCCACCAAGAAGGGCAAATGAACAGGAAAGAACTGTGTGCCTGATTTTTGCCCCATCAGTGTGGGGTATGTCACCCATGAGATATGGAGACCCTTCTGATAGAGAAAAATCGGCACAAGACTGTGGCAGCATTTATGATAATGATAAGCAGGTGAGTGTTCTGGGACTGAACATGAGATATTTGGTCCACGAGAGCCATTAAGGAAATCTGAAAGAAATTTAAAGGGAGAAATCAAATTACTAGAGTTGAATGAGCATGGCTCACATAGTTCATCCGATGTTAAGAGAGAAGAGACGAGCTTGAGGCTGAAAGTTTTCATGTTAAGGATAGAAGATTAAAAAGATCTTTGATGCCATCATTACATTGAAACTAATGTTTCATTGAAACTAAAGACCTCGGGCATCCCTTTGCAGGAGCCAAATAAATCCTTTTCCTTTTAAAGCTATGGTTTGTTGGATTTTCTATTTACACTAAACCCATTTCACCCTGACACATCCCCTCTTCTTTCAATAAGCCCACTGAGTGAGTGTTCTGTGTATAGTAGATAGGCAGAGAAGGTATTGGGGGACAAACCTTGTGATAGAGGAGTTTGATTACAATTGATTTGGCTTCTATAATCTCTATTTTGTGCTTATGATTATTTGTTTTTGTGTCCAGTAATTTTTAGGCTAATTATATTCTTATAAGTTCCATGAATACCAGTTTCTATACAAGCAGAGATGGGTTGAGCTCTTTCAAGACAGCTTGATTTTTCAAAGACAGTTTGAGGAATGATAGATGGAATGCAGAGAAGAAGGAAAGGGTTTCACTCATGGTCAACCTTGCTGTGAAAATGATAAATGGTAAACTCAAGTAATAAACAACTCGCAAATTCTAAATTGCACATTTTTCTGAGTAGTGAGATGAAATTTCAGGAGGTCTAACTCCATCCTGCCCTGGATTTGAAGCATCCTTTTGTCCAACACCTTCCCCTCATTAGTCACTGAGTAGCGGTCTCAGTTATCAACCACCTGCTGGAGGATCTCAGTGCTGGTGTTTCAGTTCAGTTCAGTCACTCAGTCGTGTCTGACTCTTTGCTACCACATGGGCTGCAGCACACCAGGCCTCCCTGTTCATCATCAACTCCCAGAGTTTACTCAAACTCATGTCCATTGAGTCGGTGATGCCATCCAACCATCTCATCCTCCGTTGTCCCCTTCTCCTCCCGCCTTCAATCTTTCCCCAAATCGGGGTCTTTTCCAATGAGTCAGTTCTTCACATNTATAATTTAAATATAAGTGCTTGTGTTTAAGTAACCCTTATTCACTTCATAATGGTCTGAAAGCACAAGAGCAGTGATGCTGGCAATTCAGATATACCAAAGAGAAATGGTTCCTTTAAGGGCAAAGGTGAACGTTCTTGACTTAGTAAGGAAAACAAAGAAGGCTGTATGCTGAGGATGGAACAAATCTATTTGTGAGATCATGGAGGGAAAATAAATTCATACTAGTTGTGCTGTCATATCTCAAACTGCAAAGTTATGGCTACAATGTGTGATAAGTGGTTAGTTAAGATGGAGAGTTTGTACAACAGTATATTGTTATAATTGTTCTATTGTATTATTAGTTATATTTGTAGTTGTTACTTTCTTACAGTGTCTAATTAATAAACTAAAATTGATCAGATGTATGTATAAATAGAAAAATACATGTTGGCTCAGCCGGTAAAGAATCTGCCTGCAATGTAGGAAATGCGAGTTCGCCCCCTGGGCCAGGGAGATCTTCTGGAGAAGGGATAGGCTACCCACTCCAGTATTCTTGGGCTTCCCTTGTGATTCACCTGGTAAAGAATCCACCTGCAGTGTGGGAGACCTGGGTTTGATCCCTGGGATGGGAAGATCTCCTGGAGAACGGAATGGCTACCCATTCCAGTATTCTTGCCTGGAGAATTCATGGGGTCTTTCTTATACAGTTCATGGGGTCACAAAAATTTGGGCGTGACAGAGTGACTTTCACTTAAAGTGTTTCAGACTCCCCTGTAGCCCCGGTGAGCATTGTCCCAAACTAGTCAGGAGAGAACCCCTGTTCCCATCTTGCATCTCGAAGGTACTTAGTTGCTGTACAAACAAGGTTAAGTTTTTTAATTCTTCAGTTCAGTTCAGTTCAGCTCAGTTCAGTCATTCAGTTGTGTCTGACTCTTTGTGACCCATGAATTGCAGAACACCAGGCCTCCCTGTCCACCACCAACTCCCAGAGTTCACTCAAACACATGTCCATTGAGTCAGTGATGCCATCCAGCCATCTCATCCTCTGTTGTCCCCTTCTCCTCCTGCCCCCAATCCCTCCCAGCATCAGGGTCTTTTCAAATGAGTCAGCTCTTTGCATGAGGTGGCCAAAGTATTGGAGTTTCAGCTTCAGCATCAGTCCTTCCAATGAACATGCAGGACTGATCTCCTTTAGGATGGACTGGGTGGATCTTCTTGCAGTCCAAGGGGCTCTCAAGAGTCTTCTCCAACACCACAGTTCAAAAGCATCAGTTCTTCAGTGCTCAGTTTTCTCACCGTCCAACTCTCTCATCCATACATGACCACTGGAAAAACCATAGCCTTGACCAGATGGACCTTTATTGGCAAAGTAATGTCTCTGCTTTTAAATATGCTATCCAGGTTGGTCATAACTTTCCTTTCAAGGAGTAAGGGTCTTTTGATTTCGTGGCTGCAATCACCATCTGCAGTGATTTTGGAACCCAAAACAATAAAGTCTGACAGGGTTTCCACTGTTTCCCCATTTTAACTTTCATAATTTCCCTGAATGAATATAGTTTAAATGCAATTTTGGCTTATTGCTGTTTTGTTACATCCATGGATCTTACCTGTAGGATAAAATTACATTTGAAAGGTCATGGTACAAAGATAGCAATGCCAGTGTTTATCTCCTGACCTTGCAGAATGGGGTGATCAGAGTGGAGATGGCTCTGGTCACAGCACAAGGCCCTGTTTCCAGGTGTTTCCCTCTTGTATTTCCACCCTCATAGGTTCACCTACCTGGACTCCATCGCTATTTTTTCAAGCTCTTCAATAAAGTGTACATTGTGGCTCAAACAGTAAAGAATCTACCTGCAATGTGGGAGACTCAGGTTTGATCCCTGGGTCAGGAAGATCCCTTGGAGAAGGGCATGGCAACCCACCCCAGTATTATTGCCATGAACAAGAGGAGGAATCCCATGGACAGAGGAGCCTGGCAAGCTACTTCCCTGCATGGGGTTGCAAAGAGTCAGACAGAACTGAGCAACTAACACACATAACGCATAGGATATACAGGGTTTGGTACTACCTGAGGTTTCTTGGGAAAGACCCTGATGCTGGGAAAGATTGAGGGCAGGAGGAGAAGGGAATGACAGAGGATGAGATGGTTGGATGGCAACACCGAATTGATGGACATGAGTTTGAGCAAGCTCCAAGAGTTGGTGATGGACAAGAAGGCCTGGCGTGCTGCAGTCCATGGGTTCACAAAGAGTTGGACATGACTGAGCAACTGAACTGAACTGACAAAAGTTTGTGGCCAATAAAAGGGTATAGGAGCAGAGACTTCTTATATAGAAGATAAGACATTATCTTTTATGCAAATAGAAAGATATTTTTAGGTTAAACTATCTTATATTTCCACATCTAGTCAGCATCAATAGTAACAAAAGATTATTGTTTTGTATTGTTTATAAAGTCAACCCCACAGGGCTGGAGACCCTGTGGGCTAAAACATTTAAATAGTCTCCATTCCACCGGGTTCCATGAGGGGAGGGCTCAGATCATGTATTTCTCAGGTCTCTTTGTTTACCATGAGATAGTCACTGACTTGAACACTTCTCACATTCTTGCTCAGACTAAACTATGAGATGGTTATTATTATTGTCCTTACTTTACAGATGAGGAAATTCGAGCACCTGAGGAAACTGGAGCCAACTTGCTCAAGGTCAGACTCAGTAAGCTGGGGAGTCACGTCAAGGCGCTCAGGTCATATTTCTGACCGCCAAGTTGTACTGCCTCTCATTGTCTGTTAAGTACATCTACACAAGTGGCATAAAAGAGGCTTCAGAATGGACTCCTATCCTGTGTGGAATTTTAATCCAATCATGGGTTCCAGAGAGGAGAAGGAAAGAGACTATTGATATCATAAACATATTTTCAAAAATTATCATCAAACTTGTATTTACCAAGTACCTGTGTATCCCATCTCAGGGAATATTGAGCATACAAACTCCTCTGAGAACAGATGAAAACTATGGAGACCGTGCATACGAAAGTTCTCTTGTAGTTTTAAGGATTTCACAATCAGTTGGAAGGTGGTTCAAATATCTCAGTTTAAGAACTCCTTATGATATCTTTCTCAGTTCTTAAAATTATCCTGAAAAGTAAGTATTCTTACATCCTTGTCCCAATGAAGAAACTGAGATTAGAGATTGAAATGACTTATTCAAGGTGGCAATTGATGAAAAGTAATTCTGAAACTAAACCTAGAATTAGGTCCTAATTCAGTTATACTAAACAACTTGATATCTAGTTTTGTTTTTTTCAATGTTTTCTATTACTTGGCATCTAAGTTTTTTCCATGCAGTTTAGAGACATTAAAAAAAAAAGTTCTGATTCCTTTGGTTGTCCTGTGGCAATTATAATTTGAACTTTGAAACCTGCAATGTAACAATGAAATGATTAAAAGTGTCTGTCTGTTAGGAGATTTTGACTTTATAAAGTAATGCCTCATTAGCTGACACAGAAATGCATTCTTGCTGCATGCCTTACTTTGATTTTGCAAACTGGGCACTGATATTATGGTTTGATATAATTTTGGGGTCGTAGAGTTCATGGTAAGTTAATTCAGCTCAGGGTTTGGACCAAGACACCAACTGGCTTTAGATGCAAGTATACATCCAAATT